TTAATACAGTGCTAACTAGATTTCAAGATGAAACTTAACATCAAAATCTGACACCAACTCGCTTATATGTCTGAATAATGTTGATGAACAAGAAAGCTGATAATATAAGCTTCTTAAGTTGTACAGGCTTAGGATATCGTGATATTGGTGACCGGGAAAAGTGACATGATTTGAAACAATAGTAGTACCTGTACCTCCGCACACACAATACCGAAAATATCTTTCTTTTAAAAAAAAAAACAAATTTTATGGTAATTCCACTTTACCAATTAAATGCACTAAAATTTAGTGCATGTCGCATGGTTAATCCTCTAATACAGCATCTTCATTTCATGCCAGCAAGAAAAAAGGTGTGGTTTTTTTCTTTTTCAATTTAATAACTACAGAAATGGGGTATTAATAAAATTCATCAGCTTAATTTATGTACCTTAGTGAAATGTTGAATTTGTCATGTGTCCATTATTTTAGGGGTCGTACATATATAGTTAAAATTTCTATATGAATTTGGCTCCACTGTATGAAGATGACACCACCATTTAGAAATTGACAGAGACTTCGATCTAATTAATATGTGAGTAAAGTTTTTGGGTCAACACAACTCGCAACCACTAGGTGGATTGGGCAGTTATAGAGAATAGATTGCGGGGTGAAAAGAGGAATCCGAGGAGTGAATACGAGCGCTGTTAATGCAGTGTGTAGAGTGTGGAGGAGAGGAAAGAACAGAAAGAGGTCATAGTTTTAGAATATATTCTTTAACTATCACGGTCCGATGTTCTAGATTGAAGATGCGCTGATCTATCATTGTAGCCGCGACAAGTACTCCACTCTACTCTTTTACGGATTCCTCTATCGGAGAGACTCTACCTGCATTATGATTCATTATAGCCAGAGCCTCACTCGTGTCCATTGCATCGAGCATATACTTTGCAGTAGTAGGGACAGGTTAAATATCTTAGCTAAAGGGACCAGTTTATGAGTGTCGTCAAGCAAATTCGATGTAAAGGAATTGGTGAAGAGACAATGGAAGAGAACGTACTAAGTTCGAGCTAGAGCGACTATGATTTGTACTTAAATTGAGTGCCAGTGCAGGACAAAAAATGCATAGATTCAAGTAATGAGGAATGAGAAGGTTAATCCCCACGGTAGGTATTGGGCCTATATGAGGTCGTGGAACGCATTGGAGGCAGTAGTCTATCCTTGATTGTCCTACACAGCTTCAATCAGGCATTTGCACTGCCAAATCTATATCAGTGTCTCACAGTTGAGGAAAGGTCTATAACGAGTTAAAGTTATAACACCTTATCCTGCTATCCCCCGACTTTGACAGAGGACATGGAGGTCCATTTTTGGAACCCGTGGCTGGACAAGCTAGGCCTTGGTGTGTGCAGAGGGGAAACATGGGCACAAGTTAGGCGCTAATCAAGTGGAAAGATCTGTCAGAGCATAATACCCGATATGAGTTGCCATCATACTACACACATCAGAAGAGAGACAGTTCCCCTTTCTCCACCTTGAGGAACGAGGTGCCAGTTTGTGGGGAGTGGAGTATTCAGATGATGGGAGAGGGACGTAGGCTAGGGGCGGAAAAGAAGGCAAGGATTCTTTATGGGTGTGCGAGCCCCTGTTGATGGTGATTCCGATTTAATCACTGAAATTGTTACATAGGGGAGTGGAAATGGTAGATTGGAGGGAGCCAAGCTGGTGGGTGGGTAGGGGGGGAGGGTTGTATTTATCGGAGTGCACCATGAGGGATAGACTTATTTAGCGCTGTCAGTTAATGTTTGTTTGTATTTATGCAGAATTTTATCTGAGAGTTGTGTGTAGTTTTCTCTTTTCCAATGAAGGGTTCCCTAGGCGGCGTCTAGGTTGTTTTGGACAGAGTCGATCTGGTGCGTTCATTGAAGTTATAATTAAGAAGTTTCATGCATCACGCCATGTTGTATTCATGGTTTTTCGACAGTTTATTTTCATGTGTGTGTTTTATGCTGTTTTTGTCTCCAAGAGCGACAATTATATCAACCTCGCTTTATCCAAACTTTGGATTGGACAAGGCATATCTCGCAACAGCGCAGGACTTCTCACGGCTTATGGGACTATTATTGGCTGTAATATATTAGTGTCTCCAAGCTATTTATACAGAGTGGCTTTACAAATTTGACACTGCCCTCGTATGCATTCAGTGCTAATTCCTCATCTGCTCTTTTACCATCTCTGTAATCACGCGATCCTAGACTGTGTTTGGAAATGAGAAGGACATCTTTTTTACCTCTTTTTTTTTTTTTTTTTTTGTGCATGGTTTTCTTAGTTAACCTTTTTGGTTTTAATGGGACGTTTTGGAGTTTGGGGGAAGGAAAGTCATTTTAGATTGACCTATGTATTTCAACTTTTACTCTTTTTTGGCATCATACTGCAATATGCTCTTATTAAAAGAAAAAAAGCAATTCTCTTTATATTTTGTTTTTTATTATTTGGTTTTTGTAAATCATGATACAATTTTATTTATAAAAATTTTTTTTTTTGTGCCAAAACGAATTAAAATTGATTACAAATATATAACATTTAAAATCCTTCTTGATATTTGTTGTTCAAGCAGATTGGTAGATTTCAATTAATGCTTGATGATCAATGGGGAAAAACTTAGTTATGTCGCAGCCTTGCAATGAGCTATAACAAATGGGTATTCTAAATTTTTAACCAAATTATTCCAGTAAGGCTAAATATGTTTTTATTGAGGAAACATATAGAACTTTCCCATTCATTACGGCGATGATTTTGCAGGTCATTATGGATGTTTTCTTACTTGTTCTATTAACGGCGTGCTGTTCTTTGTCTGCTATGCAAGATTCTGTGAACTTTTCGCATGCATTAACGCAATATGTATCTCGGCTTTTCTTTTTTTCTATGGTTTAATTAATGCGGGAATTGTTTATGCTTATATGAGCCGGGCCGCGGCGGCTGTGATTGGGGTTATAATTATTTTGTAGGGTATTGATATGATGTGCGTAACGCGCACGAGGGAGATCGAGGCAGTCGGGGAAAGGATACGGGATCTATGGTGATTAGCTGGGGGTTCATGGTATGTGGACATTGTCGGCATTATTAGCTAAGGATTGGGAAATTGGATTTATAATGTTGCTGCTTTGCTTATGTCGGAATTGAATCTCAAAGAGTTAGTTCAATATGTTTTATAAAAATCTTGCTTAATACGCACCGGGGTGTTGGATAGCATGACGCGGTTGTTCGGTGGGGGTCGGAGGGGCCACGCATTTTGTACACTAATGCTATTGTAAGGGACGCGCAATCGAAATTATATTTTTAGGAGGAGCTAGTTTTCTGATTTCCTGGAAATTTTACCTATTTCTTTCTCTTCTTGCAGCGACCCTTATAAAAGGCAGTATAAGGAATACAATACCGCACCCATTGCAAGTAATTGGTGTTAAATTAATAGGGCTTGTTATGGTAAAGATAGACAAGTATTTCAAAGTGTGTAATAACTAATTCAGTATAAGTCGGGTGCATCTATAATTGTTACACACCTCTGACCAGAGTGCATCGTACGCCTCTTTATAATCTTAGTATACCCTGACTGTTCTCTGTGTCGTTTCATATTTATTC